ACGACTTGCCTCCAGTGTGGCCCCAGACCTCTGGGAGCGCATGGGCCTTCTCCCACGCAGCCGAGACAGGCCGCCTCGCCCGTCCCCAGATCCTGACCAGCGTGTTCATCAGCACAATCAGGCGCTCCCCACCCCCTGGCTTGGGGAGTCTCACGAGCTTCGAGAGGAATCTGCCGTCTGGCCACAGCAGGAGGTGCTCGCACCGCTCGAAGAGGCGCGCCATGGACGTCAGCGCCCCGTGGGAGAGGTGCTCCATGGCCCTGGGCGCGATGTTGATCTGCCCGACGCCTGTCTGCCAAGAGAAACAACGGATTGCCTTGAGTACGTCGGCCGCCTCAAGCCATGGCAGCTGCTCCCAAGTGTCAGCATCAACAGGTCGGCGAGCCAGCTCACCGCCATGCCGCGCCCAGAAGCTTTCCCAGTATTCAAGCTTACGATCAGCCAGTACGTACCCATGTTGTAGCCCATTGCCTCCGTCCACGATCTCCTGGAGAGCCTTGGGCTTCATGAATCGGTGAGCTCCCTTGGCTCCAGCCACAAAAGCTGCCTGCGCCCACTGCCTCCAGCTCTGCATCACGGCCTTCTCATGCTTGGCCTCAGCATCGGAGGAGATACACAGGATGCGGTCGACCTGCTGCTCGAAGTCTGCCTGCGCTAAGGCAAGTATGCCACGCGAGAAGAAGCCGACGGCCTCGGCGTCCAGGTGCGGCCAGACTCCCTTCCTCCGCCAGATTCTCTGGAAGAAATTCTCGCACTCCAGCAGGTGGCGCGCCGCCTTGGAGTGCACGGCGTCCCACGATCGGTCCTCGCCTGCACGTCGCGGGGGCTGGTGTCGCTGAGCTCTCGACCGAGGCCGACCACCATCGGAGGAGAGACCAGCCACTCCGACGACCTCCGCAGCAGGGGGTGCACCATCGCCCAGGCCAGGCACTCCGTCGACGTGCGCCTCGCCGACGCTGCCGAGTTCGAAGACCTGCTGCGGGCGAAGCTGGAGCACGAAGCTCTGCAAGGCCACTCGAACCCTCCTGAGGTGACGAGCCCAGCGCGCAGCCTGCACCCAGGCCTGGGTGTCCGCCGACCTCCTGCTCCAGGCACCTTTCACGACAGGGTGAAAACTCGCCAGCTCGAAGGTCGGGGGGCCTGGCACCGTGGAGTACCCCGCCACGTCCTTCACGAAGTCGTAGCGGCCCCGCAGCTCGAACTCGATGCCGCTGAGCACGACGTCCCAGGCCCTGGTGATGCCCTCGCTGTCCGACGCGCTCTGGATGAACGCCAAGATCGGGTCCCAGTCGGGGGGGAACCTCGCGCACCCCGCCGCAGGCGGCCTCCGAACGCCGCGTGGCTCGACAAGCCTCCTGACCTTCGCGTCAAAAGCCGTGGCGGAGAGCTCCATGGTCACTGGTAGATGCGGCCACGTCTCCGCGTCGACGACCACTGGTTGCCGAACGCGAGGCAGCAAACGGCAAGAAACCATGAACATGTCAATGGTGCGGCCAGGAAGGCTCTGAAGACAAGTCGGCTCTCTCGGCGCCAACACCACGCCATTGGCCGACTGGAGCCAGGACAACGGGCCGAGCTCGCCTACCTCCATGTTGAAGTCGCCTCCTACGATCCACGGAACGCCCATGGCCTCCAGCGACCTGACATACTGGTACAGCTTGTACAGCATGGCCAGGTTCTCGGGCGACAGCTTGACGTCCACAATGAAATAGCACGACAGCATGACGAAGCCGCCCTTCACCCCAGCGTGGACATGGGCCGCCATCATCCTGCCTTCCTGCAGCACGTGACTGTCCAGGCCTGGGGGTTTGGTGATGACCACCCGCAGCGGGGCCAGCACCGCAACCCCGCCTCTGCTGCCAACTCCCTGCCCAGGTAGGGCGGGCTCCCATATACCATGGTACCCAGCAGCTCTTACTTTATTCTGCAACTTCGCCAATGCATCGCCCTCGGCCTTGGCATGATGTTCCTGCACCGCGATGCATAAACTCGAGCACGTGGACAGGAAATCGACGAGCGGGCCGCCCGAGGACACGTTCACGGTGGTGATACTTGAAACCGAAGCCATGGTGCGACAAAGGAGGACGAACCACACAAGACACGCAAAACATCGCCGTGGAGCCATGCTAGGCAGGGGTAAGCCTGGGCCTCTTGACCTTGGCACCCCAACGCATGAAGATCTCCTCCAGCCTGTGCTTCTCGCCCCCAGCCGCAACGACTTCCTCCATGAACTCAGGGTCGTCGGAGAAGGCAGATGGCTGTGGTGTGCGAGGCGCTGCCGCGTCGTCCTGCCGCTCGGCCTGCTCGACGTCGGGACCGGCCTCGGCCCCAGCATCAGCCTGCGCCCTCTGGGCAGCCAACTTTGCCGCCTCCTCCTCCTGCAACCTCTGCAGCTCCTGGAAGCTCGCCGTGAGGCTGCCCGACAGCTGGTGATCGGCGCCCAGGCTCTGGAGCAAGATCCCGAGGCCCTCGAGCGTGGCACCAACCCCCTTGATCGGCTCGTCGAGCGACGCCTTGTCGCCAGGCGTCGGAACCTGCCCTTGAAGCCTCTTGCGCTCCTGGTCCAGCTCCTCCATGCTAGCGTCGAGGGCAGCCAGCTTGTCCCGAGTGAGCCGTTCCTTCTCCTGCAGGTCGCGCAACTGCGCCTGCAGCCCATCGAGCTTGGTCTGCTGGTCGTCGCGCAGCTTCTGCAGCCTGGTGAACTGAGCTCCCATCTCGCGCAAGCGCTGTCCGAGCGGTCGGGACTCCGCCACCTTAGCACGCAGCTCGGCCTGCTCTGCCAGCAGCTTGTCGCGCGTGGCCACGACCGACGGCTCGGTGATGCCCTTGAGCTTGCCGATGAGGTCGCCGACCTCGCGTAGCCTGTCCTTGGCGACGGACTCGGGGCCGTCTCCGTCCGCGGCCGGCTCCATCTGCACGTCCTCCCCGCCAGGCGGCGGCCTTTGCACAGCGGCAAGCCGCTTGCGGGCCTCGGCGAGCTCGGACTTGAGCTTGGCCACCTTGACGGAGTCGTCCCAGTAGCCGTTGCCGCTGCCGCCCTGATTGCCCTTCCTCCGCTGGGAGGGGGCCGAGGGCTGGCGCACGCTGTGGAAGACCAGTCCCTTGCCCAGCTTGCACTTCGCACACTGCCGCGCCTCTGCATGATTCCACCACGGTCTCCCCGAGGGCCCGCAGCAGCTCTTGCAGTACCAAGGAAGCGCCTGCTCCGAACGGTAATGCGGCGGTGGCATCTCCACGACGCCAGGCAGCAGCACACACGGTGGGCCGTGGCAGCGCGATCTGGAAAGGACTGGGTGTGGGCGCCCAACTCCCACGGTGAAGGCGAGCGGTGGTCTGGCCGCGGACTAGCGGTATCCGTGCGGTCCCCAGGGGAACCAATCATCTTGAGCCAAAATGGCTACGGAGGAGGAGGAGGAGGCGGAGGAGGAGGAGGAGGAGAAGGAGGAGGAGGACGGGAAGGAGGATGATGAGGAGGAGGAGGAGGAGGAGGATGAGGGG